CAAAGGGATGATGCTATTTCGGGCCATCTATTTGGCGGCTACGAAGAGCGAAAGACACCTCACTCTCGGTCTCATTTACACTCGGGACGACACGGAAAATCAAGTCGGAAAAAGCATCTACGACCCCTGTAGCAATGTCAAGAGTAACAAAGATGCCGTGGAATATATCAAGATGTGTGGCCGCAATCGCGCGACGACAGGAACGGACCTCACCGTCTTCTACCATGCTCATATACTACTCGGCCACTTCGGCCCACATACTACTGGCCACTTCGAAGCATACGTAAAGAACGGACCGTGACAGGAAGCGTTTAAAGATGGTCCTCGTCCTCGAACATGCGACCCCCGAAGATATTGCCGGCATGACTGAATTGACCAAGTCGGACCCCGGAAAGCTCAATGACAAGGAAATCGTTGCCCGAGACATGCACGTCTGTTTCGTCGTGTTACAGCACTGATGCAAATACAGTGGTCGGGTTGATAAGAATGGAAGCCGTATTCGGAATATACGGTTTTCCCTGCAACTTCATATACACAATCCTGACGCCCGCTTTTGAAAGTGGCCTGTTCGCGCGACAAATCGTCACCGACTCAATCCTGGACCCCAACAACGATGGCCACGCCAGGGTGGTCGAAGTGCTGAAGGGTAGGGAAGCAGGGGCCCATCAGGAACATGACGCAATTCTTGACTCGGTTACTCTGATGGCTCTGCAGGCGTGATGTTGCCCTCCCCTGTGGGCATGGACGCGGTCACACACTCACAGTGGGAAGACTCACAGTGGGAAGACTCACAGTGGGAAGACTCACAGTGGGGGGAGGACTCAAAAGACTATAGCAGCCTCCCACGATGTTATGTTGCTATCTTTGCATCCCTACTCGGCTTCGATGGGAGGATAGTACTCGCGAACAGGTCATTTTGTGCATGGTAGTGTCGAGGAATCCATGCATCCATGCGACAAGTGTAACCCCATAGGCCGACTGACCGCTCTCACAAACCTGCCTCGGTTCCGATCTGCCAAAACGAAACGCAGCGGTGAGACGTGGGTGTCTGGCACCGTGAAAGGGCATGGTCGTGGTGCTAGTTCGCTAGTTCGCTAGTTCGCTAGTTCTTGGGCTTTCCGACAGAATGTCCGACAGACAGTCCGACATGTCGGGAAAAGCCGGCAGCGCACGACGAGGCATGTATGTGTTCTCCGGATATCCCCGTCCGGCCGGTACCTGGTGCCTGGGATATTTAGCGGGACCAGCCTCAAGCTCCCCCCGATGCACGCGTGCTGTTGACCCTTGATAGACCATGTGCGGCGTGGTCGCAGTGCCTGAGCCTCCGCCACGGCACCCTTGGCCAAATTTCTGGACCGCAGTAACGCAACAATAGTCTGCTTACCCCGCTCCCGCCGCGTGTCAGGGCCAAATCTCCCCATGTGTTAGACAATCCGTAGCTCGGCGGGTCCGCTGCCAGCGCTCCTCCTTATTGTCCAGTCGACCGAGTATCCAATCGGGGAGGTCGGCGACGCAGGGCAATAGACCCAGGCCTGAAGCGAGCACAGTACTAGACCATGGGGCACGCACTGTCAAATGAAGCCCTGAAATACAGCGCCCGTTTCCCCGCGGATTCCTCCGTACCTGCCCTGTCCTGCCGCCGAGTGCGAGTAGGGATGCACGCGCCGAAGCCGTGAACCTTTTAAATCCGACTCCGCACCCCCACTATCGCCTGATGCTGATTCAGAGCCCGTGTGCTCCAGAGTCGGCACGGTCTTACGGACTGGCTCAAGCTGCGTTTCTGGCCGGCGAAAAGAAAAAAAAAAAAAAAACAGAGGAGGCCAAATTGAGCAAGAGGAAAGAAATACTTTTTTAAATATTGCCATGGACGGGGATCGAACCCGTAGTTTCGCCGATCGAACAGAAGTAGGATGACGGTAATGTTTCCGATACATGACCGTAACCGCTGACACGCACTACCATGGCCAAAGGGAAGTAGGTTATAAATCTTGCGTCGCTGGCTTGCACCGGCAGGCGTGAGGCAGTCAGGAGCCATATTGGGGCACGAATGGGTGCCTCGGAGACGGCCACGTAACGAAATTCTTGCACCATCTTCGCCCCCTTCACACGGTCCGGCCAATCGCCCGATCCGTCAGGTAAGAAGGCACAAATCGACAAATCGGGAGGAGGCGGGGCTCCGGAGTCGTCCGAGTCTCCTGCTCCCAGAATCAGTGCTTGGCGTAGAAGCATATGGCGGTGGTCCCGTCGCAGACGGACAGATCGGTGGATATTGGGCTTGGGGGCCCGAGCGGTCGATCCGTTGGGTGTCCGGGATGGCTCTCGTCAGCCTATCTTCGGGTCCACCGTCCGCCGATAGCTACCCCGCGCCTCGCCTGACGTTGCCTCAAAGCCAGTGTTTCCGCGCACGAAGCCGAGGAATCCGGCCGATTGACCAATCCATCTTGATGTCAAGACAAAGGGCTTTTGCTCATCCACACCAGCGCCAGAGCCCCACTTGGCGAGAGATTGCCCAGCCGGCCAACTTTGAGATGATCTGGCCAGTCAGTAGCAGCAGTTTGGCTTATTTTCTTTTTTTCTTTTTTTTTTTTTTTTTTCGGAGAAAGAGAGGCCATTTTCCAAGTCCCGGAAATTCCAAGGTGGTGAGCCCGACAAAACATGGCTCCGAGACAAGACTGGTTTCGAGGGCTTCGCTACACAGCCTGGGCTTGTAAAAAAAAGAAAGAAAAGACACTTCCCAAATGAAATATGCGTGAATCAATTCTGGGTCCCAGTTCGAAACCCTGCAACGTCTCGGTTTGAAGACAACATTGATCGGACTCGACGGCTGACCTGTGTGTAGTAGACCTAGACCGTTCCTAGAACCACCAACCCATCGTCAGTAATCAGCGTCCGACACACGCGGATCTGAAAACGGTACTGTGCACAATCCAAAGTAACTTATGTTCATGCGCTTAGTTGCAAAACCTCGACTTCCAACGGAGGAGTCCATAACGGGCTCTTCTTTGAACAAGCCCCGCATCTATATCGAGACGCTCATCATGGCCGTCATCGTGGCAAAGCAGCAGCACTCTGAGCGTCCCCAAATCCGGAAACCTACTGTGGAATTCGGATATCGGATCCTCGTAGCAGTCCGGCCTTTGCTCTGACAGCAAGTGGCTGTTGAAGAGAGTCCTGAATCCATGCTAGCGTCAGATGCTTGATGTTCATTGATCTGGGCACATCCGGCGCCAATGATACGTTGCTCTTAGTCTTGGGGCCAGTATAGGTGGGTGCTCCGTCCCTTTCTCCCGGTATTTACTTTCATCAAATCTTGCCCTACATATCATCACCCAACGGTCGAAACGTTCCATCTCCTTTGCGCTCAAATGCTCCTCGATCGCCCGCTTAGCTTCCTGATAGAGATGCATTCTGAAGTACTGGTGATCCAAAAAAGATCACAAGGGCACTGTCGTCCTCTAAGATCTCGAACAGGCCGTCTCTTCGAGAACTTGCATCATCACGACCTAGTTCTGTCAGTAAAAAAGATGGGTTACGCTGGGCGACAGCTACGCAACAGGATCAAAGCAACATGTATGTGATCGGCGCATGCCGCCATAAAGAACTTAAATGGATTACCCGGTTCCGTATCGACTGAACTCTAATGGCGAGCGTGCGCAGTGCTGTCATGCTTCTATTTCAATGGCCACTTCACGCGTACGATATGCCGGCGGGCTGTTCCGAAAACGAAGAAATAGGAGAGGGTATGATACAATGTACTGCAAGGGCCGGAGCACTAGAGGATCAGGACGAGCAGGCAGGTGAGGCTAGTGAAACGATGGGGAGAAACGGAAGCTCAGAGGCCAGACAAGAGGCTTCCCAAACTTTGGTTACGATGGTGGAGGAAAAACAAAACCCCCCTTTACCGTCCGGGACTGCTACACTGTACACACCTCCTGGGGGACTAGACTTTGTCTCAGACATTGTGACGCGCGACCCAACTGGACCAGCGGCCGTCGCCGACTGCTGTTGACCCCGGACTTGAGCCAAGGCAGCGTGACAAGGTGGCGCCGGAATGCACCATCGGGTGGATAGTCCGTAAAGGCATAACAGAACTAACTAAAATACGACGGCTGAAGGGAGCGTACCGGCGAGAGAAAACATGCAAGCCCAAATCCCAAGAGGCTGCAAGCGGAGGGGCCGGGTTGGAAACAGCGCTCGCTCGTTCACTGAGACGCAAGCCTGCCGCGTGACACGGGAGACAAGAGTGAGCACTGCAAAGACGGAAAAAAAGGGGGGGGTACAGGCTCACAGGGGCGAGGCGAGGCGACCGAGCAGAAGGATCAGCCGCAGGGGGGCAAACACGCATCCCGGAATCCGGGGCAAGATGCCCACGCGAAGACTTTGCATACGGGTAGCGATGTGTCGCTCTTGGGCGTTTCTGCATGCCCGCATGACCGCCCCGTCCGACAATTTGCGCTAGAGCAAGGGGACTTTGAAGAGCGTGGTAACGGTGCCCATCCGTCATGACGCCGAGGACTCTTCCGTGTTCGGTGTCGTATGGGAGGAGTTGGGATTTCCTGGAAAGATATTTTTTGGGCTCCACGGAAAACTAGCCGAGTGAGGGATCGGGTTTGAGGAGAATTCTATCTCTCGGGCCAGCAATGGCTCTCTGCAGCGGCCCTGAAGATGTAGGACAAGACAGCCGTCTATCTGTTCACCGAATGGAAATCGCCAGACGCCCAAACGGTCGGAATGAACCCAGACCCTGCCCACGCATTTGCCGCTTAATCGCGGCTTGCCTATCCGATCTGACTTTAATGCTTCCACCACCCCAAATTCCCAGGCCCAGGCAATACCATAAGCCATGCGAAAAGCAGGCTGCTCTGTTCACTCCACCAAGCGTCTCCCGCACGAATCTCTCCAGACGTACGCAGCATTCCTAGCCCGCCGCCGGCGCCGCCGCAGTTCCCCAGAGAATCTCCCAGTACCATGTCTCCTAACGCGAGCGTCCCGGCCACGTATTATAGCAAAGCGTGCTTGTGATTGTTGCCATCATCGCTGAACCCAGCTGCGACGGGCGGAGTTGCCATCGTTGCCCACCTTGAGTCGCCGCCTTCCGGTCCTGGGCCGGTGCTGCTCGGGTCGCCCTCCTTCGTGTCTGGGCGGAGGCTCCTCCGCCAAACGACGCCCCCGATGGTCAGGACCGCGGCCGCTAGGATGGTGTGCGCGACGGCGGCGGCGAGAATGCTGGCCCAGAGGAGGCGGAGATTGCCGGGCGAAAAACCCGACCGAGAGCCACAGGAGGATGAGCCGATTATCGAGAGGGCCTTGCTGATGACGAGGAAATAAGCATACCTCGCCCGCCAGTCACGCCCCAACCTCGAAACGGCGTACCACGAGGCAAGGAGCGTGAAGACGAAAAGCCCCGAGTAGATTGCCGCCACGGTCATCAGAATAGGTGGTGCTATGAAGCTGAGCTGCAAATCGTTAGTACCACAGCACATGTTTTTGCGACAGCGAATAAGTGGGAAAAGAGACAGCTTACTTCCGGCATCCAGGATGCCTCGCCAGAACTCAACACCTCAAGCGCCGTCTTGGGGGGGAGGCTTTGACGCGAGGTGCCCAATTTAGTCTTGCAAAGATACATAGGTCCGCTGCGCGAGTCTCATGAGAAGGACGTTCAGAGGCATGATTTCGGCCGTAATGTGCTGCATCTCGTCTTCGGGGAGGTCGTTTATCGAGGTCGACACGGGCCCCGCCACCCGGGCCTCCGTGGAGGAACTCGCTGTCTACGTCCATAGGTGTGCCAGCACCGCTGTTGGCGAACGACGGGTTGTCGGGGTATTGCCGCAAGCCCCTTGCCATTGTCCGGAGACATCTCATGCTTCGCGACGTCGCCATTCACCCCGTCGTCCAGATATCTCTCTATCGTGGTTAGTCCGCACCCCGTTCTGTAAGCCGTTTCCCATTCTGAACGCGCCGCCCATGCTGCGCTATGCGCTCTTGGCCGCGCTCTGAGCCCTTCCTCGCCCTTTCCCGGACTGTCCCCAATATCCCCTACGAAGCGACTGGCGTCTGGGGAAGAATGCGTCGCGGAAAGTAAATAAATAGACGGAAAGACCGAGCCTGACCAATTTCATATGGCGTGCGCGGCGCGAAATGCGAAAGTCCGGTGAACCAGGCCTGATTGGTAGTAGATTCCATCTTTGTCACCATCGGTGGTGATCGAGTAGGGAGGAAGTAGATTTTTTGGTCCGTAGACGGTCCCTAGCGTCTGTCTCAAATCAGAGGCAAAGCGCAAGCGGCTCGACCGCCCATAACCTTTCTCGTCGACGCTTCTGCGATAAAAGTATCGGTGACTGCCACGGTCAAGACGCGCAGCAAGAAAGTAATACTGGGCATTGATCTGGCCGTACGCTGCAGGCGTGTGAGCTGCGCACCGGGTCTTGTACTGCACCCTGCTGACGGGGCAGAAAGTCGCAGGAAGAGGAAGAATGAGGGGGAGAACACGCTGGCGGACGGGCAGGTACCTGACGCGCTTGTGGTGGGCGTCCAACAAGGTCCACTTCCATCCGCCGTAGGCTTTGAACCGAGACTCGGTTGAGTTGGCTGCCGAATCACAAAAGTTAGCAGCCATGAAATGTGGCCCGTCCACCTAAAGAGGTCTAGCAACCATAATACAACCTTGTCTTATTTGACCGTGCGGTGACATGTGGGCTTGACACGGCGACTATCGATAGTCCTGAGCTGCAAGATCAAGTTGAGTGCTCGTTCCTATTCCCCTCTGTCCTTTGCCTTCATCTATTGTGGTTGGTGGTGACATCCATCCCTCTCTCTCCTTTGCCTTCTCCTTATTTGTACTGTTATGGCTGGTGGTGACCATGTCAGTCCCTCTCTCGTTGCCTGCCTATTGTTCGTGCTGCTGACGGCTGTTAGGGAGGGGGCGTGTCGTTTGCCTTATTCTCGTTCGTGCTGCAGCTAGTAGTGCCACCATGTCAGTCCCTCTCTCGTTGCGTGCTTCTTATTCGTGCTGCTAACGGCCGTCAGGAAGGGGGCATGTCGTTTACCTTCTTGTTTGTACTGCTGTGGCTGGTGATGACCACGTCAGTCCCCCTCTCCTTTGCCTTCAGCTGTTGTGGTTGGTAGTGACTATATCAGTCCCCTTCTCTCCTTTGCTTTCATCTATTGTCGTTGGTGGTAACATTCCCCCTCTCTCCTTTGCCTTCATCTGTTGTGGTTGGTGGTGGCCATGTCATTCCCTCTCCCCTTTGCCTTCTCTTGTTCGTATAACGAGTTTTCCGGGCAGATTCGTAATATGGGTTTAAATTAAAGCTGGAAAGATATCGGCGCCGCTATACTCCCAGGCTATTCTGGACAAGACGGTTCGAGAAACCCCAGAAACCCGACGACGATCCGATCAGTATTAGATCCGAGCTAAGGCTAAGATATACGATTGATCGGGATTCGGTCGGGATGAGAGACGGGAGCTGATATATAATACGACAAAAGCCGGCATTCTTAATACTAGGGCAGCGTTGGAACAGCCGATTGTCTTGGCCGCCGTCTTAGCCGCCGTCTTGGTCGTCTTGGTCGTCTTGGTTGTCTTGGTCGTCTTGGCCGTCGCCTTCGCCATTACCTCGCCCCCAGCCCGAGACTAGATACCCAATGCCCTATTATATATGTCTCAGGCGTCTTTAGGTATATTCCCAAAATCCCGCAAAATTGCGATACTGGTCCCTACAGCGACGGTAGGCTGGGCCGCGGCACCGTCGGGCTCCAGCGTGGCCGCATTCAAGGTCTCGAACCTCGACGCCACGGGAATAACGGCAACAGTGCTCGTTCCAATCGATAAGCCGACGCTGGCCGCCGACTTCACCGCCGGCCACGTCGAGGCCGGGGACATGTATTAGTTGACGAGAGAATTGCTCGTGTCAGACGAATTAGGACGGTTTTTGTTAGTAACGAGACTCAGAGTAAGAATGTACCAATATTGCTATTGTTATGATGCCCTCGTCTCGTCTCCTGCCTAGGCTGGTACGAGGATCATGACGCCATGTGCTCTACCGGCGCCCATTCCCTGGGAAACCATGCTCTCGTGGCATGGCGTTGTGGTACTGTCGTGCCACTTGAGGAGGATGCCCGTAGGGAAGTGGGGAGTGGGGACGCAAAAAAGCGCGAGAGGTGCGCTGAGTGTTAGGCTCGTTGTCACGCCTCGTGGGCGGCGAACGTGGGCAGGACGAAGCTAGCCTTGTGTGCATCTCCGAGCTGTAGTACCTGCACAGCTTGGCCTCCTCCTCAGGGGTCCACGACCGCAGGGGAGCCTGCGATGGTGTTCGCGAGCACGCGAAACGTCGGCCGGACCGCGCTGACGAGAGCTCGCGCGCGCGACGTTGCTGTCGATGGGGGGGCGTGGCTTTCGCGGATCGCGTGCTCGTCGTTGTCGCATCCAGGGGCAGATGGGCGGTTGCCAAGGGCAACAAGATCAGCTCCATCGGCAGAATGCCTACGTCCATGACGCAGCAGCACGACAACGAGAACATAGGCGCCAATATCGCGTATCATATCTTTCTTCACTTCTGCCCATCCCAACCACGCCAACAGCGGGGGCGACTATTCGTTTGCCTCGAGGAATCGCGCTCCAAGCTTCACAACACTCAGGGCCCTTCGACCCCCGAACCAGCGAACGATGAAGCCCATGTGTGGGTTTCCCGGCGTTGTGATGGGCAAAGAGGTGTGGGATCGACTCCCATGTCGTCGGAAATCGAATTTCCCATCCTGCCCACCCTGTTGCTGAGCCATCTGTTGTTCTCTCTGCTGTTGCTGTTGCTATTGCTGTTGCTGTTTCTGTTGCTGTTGCTGTTGCTGTTGCTGTTCTAGCTGTGCCTGCTCGGCCTCTCGCCGCTTGCGTTCCTCCTCCTGTTGCTTTTGCTAGGGCGAGGGCGCCCACGTAGCGCAGGCGCGGCCGAAGGAATCCAGCGGCAGCGTTTACGAGTCTGCTGCGTGCTAGTGTTTGGTCTGATAGATAATTGCCCAGCTCTAGACCCAGAACTTGGAGCAGCAAGCCCGTGGCCGAAGTCATGGACGGATTCGGTTTTCTCCTCATCAAGGACGGTTTCGATCTTCAAGTCCCAAGCTCGAACAGTGTCTCACCGAGTTTGGCGCCTTTGGAAAGGGAGTCAAATAAGCAATTGTCAAATACCTCTGGTACTGAGAAGTCCATTTTGATGTTGTAAATAATAAAAATATAAGCGGATAGAAAGGTTGTGTAGGAAGGTCGGTAGGTTGCATGCGGAAAAGGTGAAAAATGAAAGAATTCGTTGGCGCCGTGAGAATAGTTCTAATTTGTTTGGCTTCAAAGGTAGTATTCGACAACCTCTAGGGTCTCTGTGAGGGCCTGGTCCTCCAGGCCTCCCAGACGCTCTGGCTAATCAGACGCCAGTTGGGTGGATCCACCCGACCAGCCAGAGCCCCACCTTGAGACGCCCTGGAAGAATCTCGCGACGGGAGGCTTTTGAGCTTCTTTTCCCTTTTCCCTTTAGTTTAGAATCTTCGTCTATAGCGCCCAATAGAGGAGTTCCGCCCTCATTCCAAGCCGGCCGTGACAGTCTCCAAATTATGTGAAATATTTTTCATGCTGATGAGGCTAAGGGTTGAAGGCCGGTTAGGGGGTGTGGTGGGGGGGATCAGTTGGGATTACGCCGAATGCTTATGCCATTACATAAGGCTAACAAGGAATTGATGCACATCTTTTTTATACTGTACTTACAGTTATACTGTATTTACAGCATAAAAAAAGATGATTAATTCCCTTTTTTTCTGTGGCTGCAGGGGCCAGACTTCACAGTTTTGATGTCCAGAGGGAGTTTTCTGAACTCTATAAAGTGAAGATTCTAATCTTCATTGAAGAGATTCTGAGCATGCCAACAAGCCCGTTCGTACTTTTCGCCAGCCCTCCCAAGTCAAGTGACCAAATCATTGACTTTTTCGCGAGTTTACTATATACACGTTGACTGGCTTAGCTATGTCTGCCTATTTGCCGAATTCGACTTCAAAAAGGGTGTCGGCAACTCGAAGAGGCACGCAGACAGGGCCGATATTACTACTCAACCAAGTATAGAAAGATAGAAGCATCGAGGAAATAACATGATTGAGGAGTCTTAGAGGACGGTGGAGAGGAGAGTGATGTGGGGAAGCGGCATTATGAGGACGAAGTTTACGAGAGTGGAGATGCTTTGGAGGATTCAACATGGCAGATGTGTGGGTGGACAATGTGTGCATTGGGGAACTAATTTTAGGAGGAGGAAATTGTCAGATAGAATGGCCTAGAAGGTTCTGGAATCTATGATGCGTAATCTTCGCCACTGGGTTTCGTCATGTAATTGCCACATAAGGAAGTATAAGGGAGAGAGTCTTTTGTGGAAAGACTGGAGGACGAGAATAAGAGCAATTCACTCTGATGCATACAATCCTAGAAGTGCTGTTGCAGTCTGACAGAAATCTCCCTACAAAACGTGTGGGCGAGAACTCCTCGGCGGGGCTAGGGCCCACATGACTAAGGCATGTGTAAGGCAACCCTGCCACAGCAGACATGTGCAGCAAGGACGCTCAGCAGAGAGAATAGCGGGGCCGGGGGACGCGGCGCGCCGGATTGCTGGAGTGGTACGCATCATCTACCAAGCGCAGCTGAACCGGCGACCTTGACGTGTTCGCTGGAGCGAGTAGGGAGTGGATAACCGGGCGTTGGTAAGCGGGTTGGTTGGATTGTGATCCGAGTTGACATTGCACTTATTGATCGGGGTTAAGTGGATACGGATTGTGGTTACGTAGGAAATGGGCTTCACTGCGCCGTGGCGTTGGCTTTCGTCACGTACCGCGTGTCTGGGAAAAAAGGCGCCAAAGTTGTATTCCATTCAATCGACACCGATCTGCATCTTGCCCAAATGCGGGGTGGTGCAATCCTAAATAATTGCGGGGTGGGTGCCATCAGGAACAAATGCGACGCTGGTGTAGAGTGACGTGCATGTGCAGAAACAAGTGCGGCGTCAGTGAGAGTGACGTGCATCTGCAGAAACAAGGGCGACGAAAACTGGCCAATCCCCACTATCTATTTCGGAAGACGTTGGGGGAAACAACCACGAAGAACCTTTATCCGCGTCATGGCGAACTATCGAACTGCCCTGTCACCAAGGGCTACTCTAGCGTCCAAATCAAGGTGCGCAAAGGGGCATGTCGAGAGCAGTTGCGCATTCACCTAGTCGGAACATGATGGCTTGCTGACAACAGTCGCCCCCCGGATACAGCGACGAGCAATGACGCGTGGGGCCTGGCGGGGACCCGGATGAGCGAGATGGCCACAGTACGGAACCCGGAACCTGAGGGAAGCTTGTTGGTACCGGTTCCTAGCCTCCCCTTCCATCCGCGTCGCAGCCGCTACGGAAGAAGACGGCCAGCGGCGCCGCAAAAGCCACTTTGTTTTTGGTTGCGGTGGAAATGCCGCGAGGCGAGCATGTCATTGATGATGGATGCCCTGAAACTCTCTTGGTGGAATATCCGCAAAGCTTCTATATTTTCCGTTTGTCTGTCTGCTGAAGAATGCTGCTGCGTAGGGCGCGGCGGCCGAGGGCAGGGCCAACCTGCAGCCCGGACGCGAGCAAGACTTCCGGCGCGGGCTTGATAATGCCTACGTCGGGCGCGAGGCCTACTGTACGAGCGTGGGGTGGTGGTGCAATCAGAAACAAATGCGACGTCGGTGTAGAGTCTGCAGGCTGGTTGCCCTGCCCAAATGCGGGGTGGTGCCGAATCCCACACGGCAGTGGGACACGCTCAAGGGTGTCCCAGGGCCCCGAACCTTGAGGCGCGGGACTCGGGACCTGGCTCTGGACTGCAGGATAACGGGACAGTTGATTGGTCTACCTACACAGATATATACGATGACCGTCCTAGATAGAGCTTGCTTCCTCAAGCAAGCAATTCACATTCACTGCACTCATACACTCTGAGTAGCATTCCAATCCGACTGTGTTTACTGTGCGATAATTGTGTTCAGTCTTCATTATTACAGACGAGTGGTTTGTATTAATAAATGGATACCGGGGACTGGCCAGTTTTCGTCCGTGGTGTAATCAGAAACAAATGCGAGAGTGATCTGCATCTTGCCCAGATGCGGGGTGGTGCAATTAGAAACAAATACGATAGTGATCTGCATCTTGCCCAAATGCCGTGTCGATCCCCGCTCCTCCTGTTATTACAAGTTTCCATCCACATGACCCATTATCAGACGCGGCATGGATATCCACGCGAGCAACAGGGCTGTAATGCCAATCGCGAATTTTACGGGCTGCGCATTCTCTCTGCTTGCTTGGCTGCTTCGCTGGCTTTGTTTGGGGCTGGTGGCCGAGACTCTGGGACCTGGGACCTGCCATCCATCCATCCATACATCGGCCTTGCTCTCCGTCTCCGTCTCGTCTCGTCTTTGCTCGCTCTATGCATGCATAACAGCAAAATGCCTACCTTCAGTGCCTTACCTTGGCTGCAATGTGCCACCCAAGGAGATGCATGTCTGTCCCCAATAGCTACCTGCCTAGATAGAAACCGGGCGGCCTCGCAGCATCCAGAGAGCCCATCTCGTCTTCAAGTTCCCGGAAGCTACCGTCTTCACGGCCATGGTGTCGTGACCCAAGACAAGCTTGAGAAGGCCTACTTTGAGAAGCACCCCGATCTCCTGGTGAAGGAACACACGCCGCATCATCATGATCGGCCTTACGACTTTTCCATGAGCAGCGACGACCTAAACAGGATTGTCAGGGACACGGCAAGCCGCGGCTCAGGTCTCGCTGTTAAGGATCCTGGGCCGTATGACCGACCACCAGCCGGCAGTCGAGCCAACAGAAGGTCGCGGAAGAGGCTACGAGATTCAGGAATCCACAAGCCGCCCCTACGAGCAGGCCCGCAAGCTTGTTACAAGGGGTCATCGTTCGAAATTCGCTCGACTGACTTCTCTGGAAGATGTGGAAGAGTACGAACGGCTATTTGCCAAGGACGAGAAAGAAAAGATGCGAAGAAACCCGAGGTGAGAGAAGAAGTCTAAGAAGAAGCAACGGTTTCCTAGCGCTGATATCTGGGAGGATGCGCCTAGTAGCGTGCACTATACTGCAGAGGTGTCGACGCCTGATTTGTACGACGAGCAGGAAAAGCCGAAGGAGAGTGCCGGTGTTGGCTGGCCGGCCACTTTGCGCAACCTGTAGCCCAGTGCGAGACGTTGGCCGATGGACACGGGCTTGTGGAAGCGCGCGCTTCGTGGGATTTGTAATGCCTCAGGATCCCTGGCTGTGCGTTTCTGTCCGTCTAGCCTGAACAGTTGCGAGTGCAGAGAGTGGACGCTGCACGTGGTGCTGGCCAGCCCGCAGCCGCCGGACCTGCGTGAACTGCACCCCGAGCGAGCTGCACCCCGAGCCGCAGCGCATCTACCGGCTGTGGCACGTCTTCCGAGGCAGGAAGAAAGAAGAGCTAGCTAGCGGCTGTTGATGCGCTGCTACGACCCCTGAAATTACAGGGACAGGCTCTGCGAGAGTTGCCGCCGCGGCTGGTTGGTGGTGGTGGTGGTGATGATGATGATGACGACGACGACGACGCCATCAACCGGAGAGTCGATAACAACAGTCCTGCTGCGGCGGCGCGGCGGGCGCGGCGTGCACGACGTTGAGGAGAGCGAGGAGGGCATTGAACGAGGAGGGAATTGAGCGAGGAGGGCATTGAGCGAGGAGGGCATCGAGAGCGAGTTCTTCAACCAGCTGCTGGCGTGGAACGTCGAGCGCAACCGCCTCCTCGCTGAGTCCGTTACTGAGAGTCTCTCGGTCGCGATGCTGTTGCGCATGATGGCCTCGAGCCGATCTAGCTTCTTGTTGCGCATATCTAGATGACTATCCAGCGTGTCCTGTGTCTCTCTGCGACGTTGACAACGCTTCACTGGACCCCGGGGAGGTTCCGAGTCAGCCAACCAGGCACACCACAAGTTTCTCGAATCCTCCCCTTTCTTAGCACCAGGGTTCAGGCATCCGGGTCCTGAAACGAATTGCCCATCTAGCCCAGACTCAGGGGGTGACTGAGCAATCTGTTTGCTTTGGAATGGTAGGTGACCTCCAAAAAAATATTGAATACTGTTATACTGTTCGCTATCATGATGCTGACAATGAACGCGTTGCGGTACAATCTTGATGTCTGATCACGGTCGGCCAGAATTAGCTTGCGCTGGCGGCGGCGGTATACGAGGTCGAACTCGAAGAGCAATCACAACGAGCCGTCATCTAAGAGAGATGGTCGGAGCCCGAGCCGGAACAAGGGCTAAGCAGACAGACAGGCTACTTCACCCGGCGGCTCCCCTCCCCGGGCGTATGCTGTTGGCGAATGTCAGTAGTTCCCTCTCCCCGGGGCAGGATGACGTGTTGGACGGCGGCCGAGTAGAAGCCGCAGAATGCCACCCAGACGCGCTGCGCTTCCATGCTGGCAAACAACACGACGAGCGATGACGCCGAGTCCAGAGCGTAGCGCCACCCTGGTGTATCGTACTCGGTCTGGGAGTGCCGGCCGCATCTTGAAAGGGAAAAAAAAGCCGTTCTGCGAAACGGGTGAGTCGAGCTCATCCAAACAAAAGTTGGAGATGCCCTTTCCGCTCCACAGCTCCATCACACCACCTTTCGATTTTCGTCTGTGTTTCTGGGTCACACGCACATGACGGCGGTGGGAAGGATTAGGGGGAGAGTGGCTGGAAAATCTGTTATCCCCAAGTTCAGCCGGGCCGAGCAGCGTGTCGATGCAGCCGGTGTACTGGTACTGTGCAGCCATGATGCGCCCGACGCGCGACCCAATGTCGCCGTCGCCCTGCAACCCGTCCCAGATTCCCGAGCTGAACTTGGACTCGGGACGAAAATGTGGACTTGCGAGCCTGGTGGACCCTAATTGCACTGGATCGTCGCTGGAATAGGGGGCCAGCCCGCCGGCCCCGTAAGGCAGCCCCATCGCTGCCGCCGCCGCCTTAGGTACTCGCCCGCGTCCGTCGTCGTCGTGAAGTACAGGTACTCGTCGTACTTTTGTGCCAACCCGTTCGTTTCCCGTGCGGGACGGTTAGGTGGTTCTCACCGCCAACCTTAGACGGCTTCGTAATAACGAAGTCTTGGCCCACAACTCATTCACTCTGGTGCACACTAGGATTTCGACCTGCAGGAACCTAGGTTTGGCTAAAAACAAGGTACGAATACCTCGCCTTGTAGTTTCAGAAAGACTAGGTACGTACGCCTAGAGAAAGACTCGGCTGGAGAGCTTGGCGACGCGAGATACCAAGTGGGCAACTTGCTACACCAACAACAACGTCCTGGGTCTTGCGCCGACAGTGTAATTGGCTGGATGGCGGGGTACTTTGATACAAGCTAAAGCGCACGCATGAACAATCCCGATTGGACGAGGTGCTGCTGGAAAGCTGGCCCCAAAGTAGGCCCAAAATCGGTTCAATGTAACAGTCTTATTGTGTGTAAAGTCTTTTGGGGTAAGTCCTGGGGCCTCCCCGCTGGGGACCCCATTTTACCCTGAAAAAGAGGGGTTTTCCTGGGCTAGGCCCAGAAGGTTGCCCTGCATGCGCCTCCAGGTCAGACTGCGGACGATTCCCGGGCTTAGTCAGGACCTCGAAAATCCAACAGGTGCGGCTGAAGAAGAGCTGCTGACATACATAATACGAGGCGTTCAGGCGGGCCAGCAATTTTCGAGACTCAACAGCACTGCAAAGACGCGCTGGATAACAGCACTGCAAAAACGCGCTGGATAATGATGCATTGGGAGCTTTGAGCAGCTGCGAATCCACGCAACCACGGCCATTCCAAGAACAAAAAATCGGCTCCGGCAAAGTGCCTGCCTGAGCTGAGGGAGAAGATTATCAAGATGATGCAATTAAAGGTGCGCCACAGGTCCTGCGTGGTTCGCGACATTGCATCTCTCCCCAACTGACACAGCACTCACTCCCCCGACGCGCAGACGATGCTGAACTGCATCGACAACTCTGGCGCATGCATCGTGGAATGTGTCATGGTTGTCAGCCAGAAGAAACACAAGCGCTTCTATAGGTGCGTGGCCTGGGTGCGTGGCCTGTCTTGTCGCTTGCCTCTCTGCAAATGTTCACTAGCTTACCACTCTCTCTCTTGCGGCAGGTGATCGAATAGTCGCAGTCGTCCAGAAACAACGAAATGCCCAGGCCGCGGGCATGTCGGTCTAGCCTCTCCTCTCCGCCGCTACCAAAGCCGAGCGCGGCGATATCGGCACGCCGTTGTCGTGCGAGCGAAGCAGAAGGTGCAGCCAAGGGATGGACGGGAGTGTGGTGCGGTTCGACGACAATAGCTTGCGTCCTGATCAACAAGGCTGGAGGCTATTGAATGGAATGGCAATAGCAGCGCCCGACCTGAGGAACTCCATCACGGTCGGTCCGGTTCTTGGTCATGGCCACAGCCGCGCCGTGGCAGTTGATGACGGAGCTGATCGTGGTTGGCATGTGAGTCTTGAGAATTGAGAGTGGTGGCTGGCTGGCTGTGATGGCGGCTTACACATATTGAACGCTCATGGCGTCAACAAACTTGATGCAGTGGCTGGGAAGCGGGCAATCGGCAAAGAAGAGCTAGCTCCTTGGACTCTTTAGTTCCCGGACTAACCGCCGGCCACGATGACGCCGATCATCAAGTTCTCGCCCATCTTAGCCATGCGATCCACCTAGCTCTTCGTCATTGCCATTGGTAACTTCTTGTGGCACTTCTTGAAGCAGTCGACCGTCTCATAGGAAGTTAGGTTGATGGTTGTGAATTGCTGCCCCGGGGCCGCGAGCTGGAGAGTTCAGGGAGTTCCCCCCAAGGGGGCACGGTTCTCGCTAGCATGTCATGGCTAGCTCCCTACAAAGTCTGAAGGCAGTCTTGAGAGAGGTATTTGAGACCCGACTTCGCCCAAGGAGAGGGAATCCTGTTGCTCGATTCCCGTCTTTGGGCGCAGGCGTCCTTTTTCTGTTGTGTTGATGGAGCATGGCCGTATATATTTCTCTCGAAGAGGCCCCTCAGTCCAGCACATCACCAGAGAGGCTCGGCATTATTGAAGCAGCATATGGAAGTGTTTGTGCTACTGTCTCCTGACGTGCTTGCATAGCTAAGTATATGGTACTCTGATCAAGGCAACCCACTTCCGCCTCAAGCGACAGGCCACACACATATTTATAAGGTAAAGAAAGGTAAAGGGTTAGTACCCACCATTTTCTTTCCAACTCTGCCACATCATACTCTAATTACTTAGTTGAAAGACATTAAACCGTTGAAATCACAACTACTACAAACACGTATGAGGTAAAAAAGGTAACCGTACTCTCTCATTTCGATACCAAGCCTAAGCGACTTAAATTCTTAGTCCGACAAGATTATCTGCAACATTTTTCAAACTCAAACCCTCTAATCCACGTGCCCGGAAGCAACGGCAGGTGGTCTTCCCAACATCATCCAGCTCAGTGCCGGGATGCGCGCAAGCACCAGGCCCGATGCTAAGTCGAGCGGCCGGCCAGCCCGAAGCGATGCACTAGCTCTGCGGCGCCTGCAGGACACGTCCAACACTATTGTGTAGGACGTCAACGACAACGTGTCGGCCACGCGGTGCCGCGGGCAGCGCCAGGCCAACGGCAGCAGCGCCTGGGTCCAGTGCCCCCCACCTGTACTGCGCTGTGGATGCCCATTACGAGATGCATTGAAGTTGGGTATTTAACATCTGGTAGAAAGGGAGAAAGAGAGCTCTATGTTGTGTTGTTTTTGCCTTGATTATTGCGAGCGCTCTTGCTCCGCTGGGACGGAAAGGCCATAACATGATATGATCTGCTGGCGTGCGTGCGATGGATCGGAACGTACTGGTTGTACTAGTTGGGCCGCGTTAAGTATATATGGTTGTGGTTGATTTGATGGGTTTGGTTAATCTGGTAGATTTGGGTGAAGACTGGAAGGTGTGTGTGTAAGGAAGACCTTTCGTCCATTGTAGAATATTCTTGTTCTGTTTGTTGTACTCGTGCCGGCCGATTAAGTTTGACACCACGGCACGGCGTGACTCAACTTCGGTCAGCGCACAACATGTTGGCCTTGGTGGGTTGGAAGAAGTTGGGGAAGTAATACGAGTGGTCGTCCCTTTCTAAAATTTATGAGGATTAATTAGCGCCTGGCAATCTGGCACGCTTACTATTCCACGTCATCTAGTGGTGCCCTGGTGATGTCTGGACGAGATAAACCTCTGCGGCCTAGTGCCTGGGCCCGAAGATTGCGCGTGAGTCAAAAGGCACATAGCAGACCGCTTTTGTTGGAGTGGGAAAATGTGCCTGATTTTATCATTAACGAGGGCGATATCATTTTATCTTTAACAATTGGAACTCAAAAGGGCCAAGGCAATATATGGTGTCGCCGTAGCGAGATTTTGATCACGGTGGGGAAGGAGGGTGGAAATTTAGATGCGAATGCCTGGGGACTGACTACAAGATACGTCTGCGCCAAGAGCTTAATTGCGAGGTTCAGTGGTTGAACTGCGAAAGGATTCAAGAAGCACTCAGTGGGTGGGGGGGGTGGCAGGTAAGGTAGGTGGTAGATACCGCAAGTTGCATCTAGCAGGCTGTGGGCAGTTGGCAGGCAGCCGGGCAACAACAGCACGGGGCAAGGACTGTACCAGACCATACGTATTAGTTTCAATACGTACCTCAGTAACAAATAAGAATGGCCGAGTGGGGTATTGGTAATGGTCGCAGCGCAGGACCATCGGTTGACCGACCAGGGGGATTCTATTCTTTCTTTTTTACATTTTTTTCTTTTTGACGCACAACATATATGCGCGCGCATCCTATTCTTCTTTACTATAAAGTTAAAAGAAATTATTAATTGACTACAACAAATAGAACCTAGCTAACCAGCGTCTTTGCAGCAAATTCATCCACGAGGTCCTTGTAATCTTCTGGCCCGTATGGCTCCGTCGCCTTGGCCAGCCAGCCAGGAGCCCTAATTAGAACCGGGTTTTAGTGTTTCTCTGTGTCAAGACGAAACCTCTCAGAAGCCAAAGAGCATGCAAAACAGTCAAGAATGAGGATACTCGCAGTGTGTGTGTGTTGATTGACGTGTGTCGAAGAAAAAGTCTGCCCCTGCAGGCCGTAGGCAGCAATGACTGAGCTGCAGTGTGCCTCGGGAAAATGTGGTTTAATTACAGTGGCCTGTGCAGGCAGGCCCTGCCCTGCACCATACCCGATTTAGGTACGTCTATCTGACACACCCCCTCAGTTGAAGCCATTCCTGGGTTCGACTGCCAAAGTAAACAAGACGGCCCCCTTCCTTTTGCCTGCCTTCTCAGTGAGGGCATCCAATCCACAAGTCTCTCGCCAAGTCAAGGTGCTCAACTTGGGGTCCCTTCTTCCTTCCTGCGCATTGCAACTAACTGCCTTGACACGTCCTGTAGGTTTATTTGTTGTACGAACCCCGTAAAGGTGTTATTTCATGTGCCCTAGGCGGTATTCCTGCCTGAGCCAGTGGTTGTGAATGTCAACATGCCGTAGGTTAGTCTTCAACTGTGAGATTTCGTCCTTCAACAGCAGAATCGTCCGTGTCTTGTCACATCGACAGTGATGCGGCCATCTTCTAGGTTGAGCTGTAATTCCTTAAGCAGCCTGCTCACATGCAGGGTTTCCTTTGTGGCCTGTGAGAGGGCGAGCAGCTCTGCTTCTGTTGTTGATGTCGTGAGGCATGCACGAAGGCGTTGACGGCGTCATACTGTAGGAGCTTAAGGTCAAAACGAGCAGCTATCGCTATAATCGTGCGAAAGGATCGTCCGGCCAGTGATGCAGCGTAGTTGCTCTCGCTAAGCTTCTTCGGCTGTTGATCTCCTCTGACGACTACCCGGATCTTGCATTTGGCGAACCTTCCGTGCTTATCGAACTTGTAGACGTATAGCCACCTACAGTCTAGTACCTTGATGCCTTTCAGGCTTCTTTGTAGGGCCTCTACGCAGGAGTGCATTTCATCATGACTCTGTAGATGTGCTCGCTTTGCAGCCTCAAAGTGATTTCTCGATCGATGGGACGCTCCTGAAGCGGACGCCGCACTCGTCGTCCCGCCCGCCCTGCTCCCGAATCTCACCCACCTGTCTCTGGCACTCGCCACCTGTCGTTGCCTCGCAATGTGTGTGTCGTGGCGCCACCTCCTAACTTGGCGTCCCGCTGCGGTCCGACGCTCGCGCACCTGAGCCTGGCATTCTGGCCGGAACCGACCCTGACACCTGTTCAGGGTGCAGAGTTTAGGTGGACCTGGAGAGTGCACGGGCCCACAGGGCTTGCAGAGGTGCCAAGCCCTCAACCCGATTGGTACTAGTGCGGGGTTAGCTCCAAAGAGGGGTCGCACCCCTGATGGGTTGGTACCAAATTGGGCGTGCCCCACTGCCGTGCATTTCCCCAGGGATTCGTAACAAGGTGCTGTTCAGGGTGCGGGGGTTATTAGGTGGGAGCTGGAGAGTACAGGGGTCAACATGGCTTGGAGAGGTGCCAAGCCCTCAATCCCGATTGGGGCTAGTGCGGGGTCAGCTCCAAGGAGGGGTCGCACTGCTGACAGTGCTGGCCGTGACAACACGCGTAAACGCGCCATTCCAAAGTGGCCCTGTTGCGTAACAGGTCCTGAATAGCTGCATTTACCGACTGTATGCAGCCAGTCTCGATCCTTGGGGCTTTGAGGGCTGCGAGCATGTGGTTGGGGCAAATGCGGTATTTCGAGCCGCTGAACCTAGGCCTGAGAGTCCTTTCCGAATGTACCGTACAGAGCAGGTGGCGGGTCCATAGGTCGAAGAAGGCATTCCGAACCGCTTTTTGCTCCACGGCAGAGTCATCGGCCAAGAAGTATTCGAGCGGCCACTCCCGGCGGCTATGTTGTTCTCCCCAGGCTTTTAGGGTCTTGAGGGCTTCACATATCATGTCGCCGTCGCCCTTTTCCGCAAGGAATGAACCCGCAGGAATCCAAGAGCCACACTCGTCACGAACTAGAATCGTATATAGGAGCCAACCTAGCCAGTTCGTGCAGTGTGTGGCATCGAGGAGGGCAAGGTGACCACGCCGGGAAAGGATCTCGAGTTGAGCCGCCGAAATAAACACAAGCCCGAAAGACTGTGTACGGTCGTTTCACGCGTCACGCTCAAGGGCTTCACGAACCCTTCACGAACTAGTTATCAGGTGCTGTACTTGTTTGTTTTGACAGGTACGTAATGACTTCCTCAACTTGAGTAGCAGGCATGAAATCGTGGCAAACACGGCGCGGGTCAGGAAAGCGTGCCCGGTAGGAAGCCCCAGCGTTGATAATATGCTGCCGGGTAAAAAAGTCACGGCCGATAATTCCGCCCTGATGCAGGGATCCGGCCGTTCCTTTCTGGGCCGGCTTTCTGAACATTGATCTTTTTCCTCAAAGCTAGAAAAAACGAAGCTTGTCGCCGGTATGCTGTTAATTGGTGCCGAACCCTTCTATTACGCGCGGGGTATCATCACGCTGGCGTCTTGTCCATGTCGCTAGAGGCTAATCTTGGTGCATTTTATGCTACAAACAGCCCCCTTTGTAATCTTCTGTCAGCCCCTCCCTCATCTTTGTGCGTGAAGAAGTCGCGCTGCAGCAGGGGAGGGGGAATGGACCGCCGTGTTGGTGGCCAGGGACGAGGTAACCAGAGTCAAGGTAACGATTAGATCTGAAGGCAACAACGACACAGTCCGAGTAGACAGTCCCTTTTGATTTCATAATACACATGTAGGTAGCTTCCTTGCAGCGGCCGGCGGTGGGGCCTGGACAATCCTTTCGGCGGTTGGCATAGACGTAGAGGCTGCACGTTGTAGCTGCCTGCAAAGAAGGCCAACGCAGGAACGGATTGGTGGGGTGCAGGCTTTGGGGTACAAACATACCAGCAATGGAACCAGGGTCTCCATCTCAGCCTTGGCTTCTAACCCTTCCCCTCCAACATAACCTTTCCTCGGCTTCTCTAACATTACCTGTTCTCGGCTTCTCCAACTTAACCTTTCCCCGGCCCCTCCTCCATTTTTCCCATTATTTATCCGTCCTTATTACCTGACTACTTTACCTCTTCTTTCTCGAATACAGCTAATAAGCGTCGAGACTTCTCCCCTCCGACCATGGACCCCCTAGAACAGTCTGGGCGGCAGCCCTGAAATGGCAAAATGGCTGAAACCGGTACACTCTCACTGGAGAGTCTCGCATAGAGTGTGCACACGACGACGCGCATGGTGCAAGGCCTTCAAGGCCACCTGGGAATATCGAACGAATGCATAGCCACGGCGCTGTCCTCCCTGGGGTTGGCCCCTACTGGTAACGACGACGCGGAAAATATCAAGTCACCCAACTCCTCCGTCGCTCCTGATGACGATGCTCTTCGAATAAATGCATTGGATCTTCGTCAAGGCTCTCAGAGTCATGGAACAGTAACCGAAAAGATGCCTCGGAACTTGTAACTATATAAAGGCTGACTGTTCTGTAGATTCGACTCTGCGACTCATCGCTTCGTAATCAGTGAAGACGTCAACGAAGCGCCGACCATCTCCTCGCACCAGCCATTTCTCATCCGCACTAGAATAAGTAGGTCATGCGATTTTTCGCAGACAGACTCCGACCACCGAAAGGCTACTTACATCTAACTACATCGGATAGATACGGATGGCTCCGAGACTATACACCTGGATCTGAAGAGCCGCCAGTTGCAGACCGAGTTGAAGCAGGTGCTTGGCGATATTCCCAACATCAATCTGGCCGTGACGAGCGCCTCGGTAAGTTACAAAAACGGCCCTTGCTTATATACTCTGCCTACTTTGGTTCGATTCGGGTCATGTCGGCGCTGAAGCAACACCCGGAACACAGGTGGAAGCCAAGATTCTTTTCCACTGGATCTGGAAGCTGAAACGCCATCGAGGAGACGTTGAAGGAGACTGGGGCCAAGATAAAGGAACCAAACAAGACGAAGCAGACAAAGGTGGCCCACCCGACAAAAACGAAGACGGCCAAGATGAAGGAGACGAAGAAGAGCAAGAAGCAAACACGCACCCGATTTCGAACGACTTCGAACTCCTAATCCACTAGGCAGACGAATTTCAGAAGTCGATCAACGAGGAGCTAACAGCCCTCCTGCGAAGAGGCAAGATGAACTTCGACCTCTTATGGGCCTTCTATGAACCCGGTCAGCGGCTCTATCTCCAATGCCCCCACACCGGGGCGCCCGGATACGACCGATACTCCACCTAGTCCGGATACTCGTCCTCGAAAACGCCTAGCGACAACACGGGTCTCGAACGTGTGTGCGGCGTGCCGTATGAGCAAGGTTAAGTGTTCTAGGACCATTCCATGCACTAGGTGTAAGGCCAAGAACAAAGATTGTTAAATGACGTCTGCCTCTTCCAGTGCAGAGATCTCGGCAGAAAGGTCGCCGAGACGGCATGGCTGGCAGGATAGACGGAGCTCAACCCAACTTTCGACGACCTTGGGTGTAATTTGCTTGTCCAACGTAATATCTTTCTTTAACTAATCCGATGTCGTTTTCGCGCCCTCGGTTATGGAACATGTATGCTGCGGGCATTCGATTACTGCGTCTATGGCGCTGACAGCTAGCCGGGTAAAAAACGTCGGGAACGGAACGAGGCATGCGTTGCCAATGGTCTGGTTAGGTGGGAACGCCTGTCTCGTTTAGTCGAGGAAGTTGCTAGAGACGATATGATAAGCATTCGAGTCTATGTCGCCATAGCCGGGATAGTGAGACTCGAAGACGGTATCCAGAGACAAACCCAGCCGAGGATATAACTCTGGAGCAACGTTAGTATAGGACCCCTACACCGTATGACGTGGATTACCGGACAACAAGACTCGTTACATATTGGGACACGGATTTGTCTTCTAGGGCAAGACCAGAGGCTAAGCTATCACACTTGAACCGGAACCGGAATCAAGATCGGTATCCGTTGGGATGTCACTAGCGTCGGTGCTGGGATGGATAATGCTAGGCATGATTGGGAGTTTGGGCGAAAGGCAGGGGAGGCTGAGCGACGGGTTCTCATGAAGTGAAAATCTAATTGAATAGCTGAGGCTGCCTTGCTGCTTTGACGAAATCGGCTTGGTTAAAGGTTCCTACTCGGGGGCTCAAGAAGGCTGGGAGCACTCCACGCTTTAACGCACCCGTGGTCACGTCGGTATGACCAAGTCACTGCGGTCGAATGCGAGGCAAATGACGACCAGGCCGCTCAGTCCTACTGCCGCTCGGGTCGAGCCGCGTTTCTTGCCGATTGGCCCCAACGCGTTCCGGGCGTGACAGGATTTCTTACCGGGACGGGGGTTCAAGATCTTCTGCTTCCGTCGCGTCACGGTCTGGTCTGGCACAGCCCCGAAGACTTCATTACGCAGCTGCACTAGCTTAGCAAGGCCAATCCTCCGCTGCTGCCCTTTCGCCCTCGTTTAGTTGCCTGAATATTTATGAGATGTTGAGCGACGGAAACGGCACAGAACGGCTTGGGATTTGATGCTTACTTGCAACCGTCCGTTTCAACAGTAGGGAGCACGGCCGTTGAGTGGTCCTGCATCTTTCCCGTCTCGGACTTTGCCTCCTCAGCGAGGAAACCCATTATTCCATCCGTCTCCCGGAAACCCAGAGCGGATGATGGGCTGCATCACAGCCTGCAAAAAGTCGCGCACCAATGCGGTATGATGGGCCGGGACGTCTTTTTTCTTGCTCAAGGACACCATATAGCTGTCTATACGAGGAAGCTAAGTGAAGTGCCCTGTGATCAGCGGGTTGAAAGGAGCTGGTATCTACTCGGTAGCCTGGCCGACATATTCCCGCAGCTCATGGTCGAATGTTTCAGTAGCAAGGGTCGGTCCGGACTCGGCTTCCATGTTGTCGTCTTCACCTGCTCGGTCGATGGCCTCCCCCGCGGCCCCGGTTCGCCGTGTTTCAATGCAAGGACGTGGGATCGGCAACGTCAGGAAGTGCCCGAGACCTTGCTCGTCTACTGATGGAATCTGATGGACGTCGGAATGCCGGCTCTGGTAACTCAAGGGAGATGGCGAGCGCATGACTTTGTGGAGACAGAGCTAGCCGGGCCGTGGGCGAAAGCGCTGATGCTGTCAAAGGTCGCCGTGATGCCGCCGAAGGTGGTCGCGGCCTTGTGTGGGAGACTGGTGTATTTGGCGGGGCATATTGCCAGTGTGACAACTGGATAGGGAAAGCCGTGCTGTAGCTCAGAAAGAGCCTCGGCTGCACTGCACTGCACTGGAGTCACGGACGAGCGTTGTCCTGACTTGTTCTGAAGATTTGCGTTGGGCCGAGATGGCAAAATCTGCTCCACGACTTTGGTTGGGCAAGCTCGGCACAGCGCTCGCTCACACCTATTAGCAGCTCCTCCAAGAACGCCGGCTTGCCTTCCGCAACGTCGAAGCAGCTCGTGGATGCCTTGTTATTACTGTTGGCAGAATGGCCCAGGCAGGGAATAGCGCTGCGCTGCCGCTGACCAAGTCCATGGACCGCTCTCCGCCAAAAACGACACTCGGTGCCCGCTGCTCGTCCTTGACTTCGACTTTGACCGGCGTCACATTGCTACCCCGCACGACGTTGTTGTCGACCTGATTCTACCTGGCAAAGCAAAGTCAAAGTCCATCGCCCCCACCGTATCGCGCTCAAGGACGGCTTGCCCCGGCATTTTCGCGGAGCCGTCCTGATGGAGAGGGAAGAGGGGGTAACATTATGCGCCACGTTATCCCCAATATCGACGATAGAGACCCTGACCACGTGCGCTTTTTCCAAGGCGGCAACGGCCAGACGTTACAGGACCAGGAGGACACGACGGGCAAAGATAGAGCCTCAGCCTCACGGTCCTGGCCATGCCCGTGCGCCTCGGGCCTGCGCAGTTTTCTTTCTTTCTCCTGAGCGAGGCCAGCAATGCTCGTGGGGGGGGGGGGGGGGAGGGGGTCTCTTGCCGAATCAAGGACGAGGGCGAACAGGGTGCGTCACAGATTCGCCCGTGAGAGGAGGCACCGACGGGAGGCACCGATGGAAAGTACAGGGTCGGCGGCTGCTGCCTACGCCTTAGAAGTGCACTTCTTCCCGCCGAGGGAGCCCGAGGCAGCGAGATTGGCGCGGATGAGGTTGGCTACCTTTCTGACATTCCATCATCCCAGGCATCGGCTTTCGATCGCCGTGATTGGAGCTACGGGCCAGGAGGGATTTCTGCTGCATATATTCGCGCCGTCTTCGCCGACGGGCACGGAGTGGTGGGCGAGAACCGAACGGGGAGCGCCCGTTCAGAACTCCAGGCATGGCAGCGGCAGCCACATGGCCTCCAACGTGGAATGATGGAGGGCGGCCAGGTGGCAACCTGCTGCTCCCTCTCCCTGGAGGCGGCGCTAAGTCGGGGCGTGGACGATCGTCAAGAGCACAGGGCGAGCGAGCGAGGGTTCTGACGCCCGAGACGCCGTGTTGAGCCTCTTCAGCCCCGCGGCGGTCGGCCGGTCTCGCCAGTAGCCGTCCAGGCGGTACGCGCGCTGGGCCATGAGCTTTCTCGAGGCCGTCTGAGCCTGAAAAGTGGGTGGCGGGAAGAAGGCATCGGCCTCCTTTCCTCCTGCTTTGCCGCTGGCGTGGGGCACGAGGGCGGGAGAGGGAAGCAGGGCAACGTCAACAGCGCAGCGGGTAGAGCGCATGGGCTGCCGGTCATCCGTGCTGGCCGCTCGGCTCCGGCAGGGGTGGAGCACGCGGGGACGTGATGAGAGAGAGGAAATAGTGTGATGTATGTTGGTGGTTGTGTTGATAGCGTGTTGTCTTCGGAGGGGCTTTGGCCTTTGCGCAACAAACCACCACGCCTAGCCAGAGATCAATCGCACCTTGGCTCGGTTTGCTGTCCAGTGCAGGGTGGGCGGAAATATATTCGGCACCCCTGTACGAATATCGTTAAAGATCGTGCGCTAAAATTTAGCGAGGTGAGGACTGCCGTTGCGGCGCGCCGTAGGGGGGCGAAACTGACAGTAAAAAGCAAAATAAGATACCTGCTGTAGCTTAGCGTCAGCTCGCTAATTTATAGTGCTCATCTCGCTAGATTTTAAAGTTTGCCCCACTAGAATCTTCTGTCGATTTCAGCGCATCATATTAGCGAATATTCGTCACCTCTGTACGAATATATCGTCGCCCACCCTGCAGTGTCCAGTGTCGACATGCTTCCGCAACCAGGTCCCCTCCATCCTTCCTCCACCGTGCGGTCCCGAACCGGCCCCCTTTTCCGAATACGAGACCACTGCGCCAGAAGCAGCAAGACAAACATGTGCTGTCTGCCCGGGAGGCAATCCGGGGGGGTCGAGGTGCCCTATTATGTAGAGGCATAGAGATTTCAGGGATAGAGATTTCAAGGAGGAGAGGAAGGAGAGGAAGACTCGTCGGGGCGCGGGTTCGGGCGAAAAGGGCCGTGATAAGGATACGAAAAAATCGCGTATGAAAAGGATAACGACGGCGACCTGAAGCAAGGCAACAATGAGCATCAAATACGAACACTGGGAGCCTGAGGATGATAATAGCAAAGTAATTGCCCAGGCGAGGCCGACTGCCTCGCTCAAGGTCGGGAGGAAGATAGTAGTGAGGAACATGGCTCTGGTGGCCATCTTGAATCATGTGCTGAGTTGTGGACTGCGAAGCTTGGGGGTTTAGCCCTACGTGGTCGTGTCTTGGGATAGTGGGCGGGCGACGGCCAAAAGAAAGCGGCATGTGCAGGCGACGGCTAAAGGAAAGCGGCATGTGCGGATGCGGTGGCGACATGGCGGAGAGTTGGAGCAAGGAGAGATTATTGGGCGGAAATGTTCTGGTATTTCCTTCCATTGTCTCGGGCACCAGATACGGGCAGCCTCTTCTTCAGCCGCATCCTGCATGTGGTGTGCCTCTCGCAGTGCCGCAGGAGCGGCCAGCAGCCTCGTAGCGGCCGACGGGGGACGGGGCGCATCAGGGCGATTCCAGGGCGCATTCCCGTCTGTCCACCTCGGCGAGCATGTCAGCCTCTGGCATGGCACGCGAGCTCCGTCGACAGCGCGCCTTGTATATGAAATAACTTTCGCCCAACGGCTTCATTGTGGCCAGGTCCTACCTACTGCACACAGCATGGCGTCGGCGGTTATAACGGGAGGTGTGCTCTCGGCGAGGATGAGTCTTCGAGTTCGCATGTACGTTGAGCACTGGAGAGTTCGAGCGAACTGTGCTGTTTCGCCGTTTTAGCGTCCCTCATGGCCCTCTCCAGTTTCTCTTCCAGCCCCAGCTTCTCTTTCTCCGAGTTCCCCAAGAGCTCATCCTTCCCATTGCCGCTGAGGCGTTCCTCTTCCAACTGCTGCTCAAGTTTCTCCATACAGTCTCGTAGCTCCTTCTTTTCTTCCTCGGCGTGTACTGCGGTTGCCCCTTTTCAGTCCCCGACTTTCTGACACATTTCTCTTTCATCGCGACACAGAGATTGCAGCTGAGCTCGTTGTCGCATTGGGATTTCCCGTTTCCTACACGATTCGCATGGCTGGTGCATGATTCAAGTTAGACTAGTCACATGGGGACTAGTTACATGGGGAGGCGAGGCAAGGTCCGGTGTTTTCCTTGCCTTTTGAACCATATATGTTGGCTTGGCACTGACGCTCGCTGGGACGAGATGCCCCGTGTGCGCCACCACAGGACGCAAGGGCGAGAGCCGGATCGGCATTATTGCGTAAATGTATCGTGATAACTGACAAGAAGTGGAGGCAGGCGCAAGGATTCGGAAATCTCGGGAAACTTGGGGATAAGGGGGCATTTCAGGTGAGGATATGAAGGCACGGAAAGGCGCGAGTGACCAAGACTCGCTCGGATCTGCCGTGAACACTAAAAGGGCGGTAGGGTTGTTATGAGGAAAAGGGAGTTCGGGCACAGCACCCTTTCTACGCACACCTTGCTCGGCTTGCAGGCGATGCAGCTAGCAGCACACCACAACAGACGCTCTCTGGTCGGTACAGGCACGGGCGGATATGTGTGCCAAGCTCTGGACGGAGACTTTGCGACAGGCGACTCCGTACTCCTCACCTGACGGGATTCTCGAAATCAGGACCTGATCAACGCAGGGTTCAGAACCCCGACACCGAATCGCTAGAGGAGCCGCAGTTGTTGGACCACAACCGCCACGGCACGCCGTGCCGTCTGCTAGGGCTCAGCGAAGCGAGGGGGTGCCGGGCGCCGGCTGAGGCGAGGTGTGATATCGCTAGTCACTGGGTATTTTTGGGCACCGACAGCGGCTGAATCGAGCGCTTCTTGTAACTTGGAGACGAATATGCAGTGCTGTCCTACGCCACCGGCCTCAGCGGCTCTTCTCGTCACCGAGGTAACGAGTCCCGGAGGGGAGGCGCCTTTGGGTTGCAGGTGCCCCTTGGGCTGCCCTTCTGTGCGGCACGGTGCCTAACGCATCCCAGTGCCAAGCATCAAGGCGACAGTCTGGCTCGACGCCCGCTCTGCCACACCGGCCCTTACGCTTGTCACTGTGGTGCGCAGTGGTGGGGGTTCTGGAGCCATATGTTAGCTACCTGAGGGAAAGCAACAGCAAGAACCGGATTTTTTTTTTTTTCGATACCTCAAGTCTCGTTCTCTCTGGTCTGGAGACGAGATTTCTTTAGTGGTGGCAGTTTGGCGTCATGGCTGCTAGTTTTTTTGACGAGCAATGGCTCGATTGGAATTTTTACTTGATGGCCTGGGCGATATTCGACTTGCGATGTGCCTGAGAGGCCTCTTCGGCTTTCAGGGGTCTTATAGGGGTGTCAGGTCGGCCCAGAAAGTACATGGTTGGGCTTGGGTCAACGAACCTCAGAGCTCTCACACCCCAACAGAGTGCAACACAGGGCCAGTGACGGAGAAACATGGAGATGTCAAATGAAGCCACCATTGGCGCTTCCGAAAACCCCGACGCTGCCGCGCTAGCCGCAGCGCTGATGCCGCCAAGGTCGGAGCCAAGACAAATGCTGCTGCTGTCGGTTAATACAGCTCTCGCGTCTCCGGTTCATAACGTTGTGACTCCTTGGCCCTGAGCGCTTGCGAGAACCTGGTGCCGACGTAACGAATGAAAGAGGGGGGAAAAAAGAAGGAAAGAAAAAGAGAGAGAGAAGAGAGAGAAAGAGAGACGGAGATGGCGACCACAAACGCCCGCAGGCCTAGCTCCCGCACCAACGGCGGCCATTCAACTCTGGCTCCAGAGCGCCTTCCACTGCTTTAGACTAGGAATAATACGGCGGTTAAACTCGTAGACACTGATTAGTTGGCCAAGCTTGCGTCTCACGTCGGCAACAAGACTACCAAGCCCTGGTGGAGCAGCGGCAATCGAGGTCTCAGTAACTGCCGGCGACCTGGCGCAAGGCGGGCGGACGCACGCCATGGCTGACGAAGCCGCCGACACGGTTTACGAGTGAGGGCGTGAGCGCTGTAGCCCCAGGCTGTTGTTCGGTCTTGCTGAAGTGGTCTTGGTACCCGACTCAATTCCACGCCGGCCTTTGACTACGGATTCCCAACTGGTGATATTCCGTCTGGTTGGCTGGTAACTGACGCACATGCCCCGCGCTGTTGTTGTTGGGTCTTGACGCAGTGCCAGTGACTGATGCCAGTGACTGTGATGCCAGTGACTGTGATGCCTGTGAACTGTGTATAAGAAGAGCCCGCCCAATCCCTCTCCCGCTTCTCCCTCTCCCCAAGGAACAACCAACGGTCTTCAAGAAACAGTCTTCTTCAAGGAACAGTCTTCAAGGAACAGTCTCGCTGTCTCTCTCTCTCTCTCTCTCTCTCTCTCTCTCTCTCTCTCTCTCTCTCTCTCTCTCTCTCTCTCTCTCTCTCTCTCTCTCTCTCTCTCCAACCAGCAGTCCAATCAACAGCCCAACCAACAGACCAACCTCTCCCCAGGAACAACCAACAGTCTTCCTTTCTCTTTCTCAAGGAACAGTCTTCTTCAAGGTACAGTCTCTCTCTCTCTCTCCCCAACCAACAGTCTAACCGTCTTTCCACACTAGCATCATGGCCAGCCAGACTCCACAGGGTACTATAGACGACCTCAGTTCTCGGAAGCGCGCCGCCACAAACGACGGCGACGAGCCAGGCCAGAGGGAGCACAAGGCCCCTCGTTTCGATGCGTCGGCCCTGCAGGCGCTGACGGATGCTGCCGCCGCCGCCGCCGCCAGAGCCCCCAGAGCGCATGCAGTTCCCGCCCCGAGTGGCGGACCAGTAGTCTTTAAGGAGGTGCGCTGGCAGGAACCTTCGCGCGCGAACCATGGACAGGAACAAGACGAGCCGGTCTCGCCCCACTCGACTAAGTAGTCGGCCGAGGGCTCGGGAGGACGAGGCAGTAACAGGAGGTGGCAAGGCGGTACTTTCGTGTTTGTGCTTTCGTGTTTGTGCTTTCGTGTTTGAGGGGATTATGTTGGTAAAAGATATCGATACTGTTTAATCGATAATCTGGTTTCGGAGGATAGAGTCAGCCAACTGGTGTCAATCAGAGGGGGTCCAGCGCTCTTCAACCTGCAGTGCCACCAGCTCTAGAGTCAGAAGAAAGAAAGGTGGTAAGTTAGGTGGGGGAGTAAGCGAACGCCACTGATCCAGAACATTCTAGATAAGCGAGGAACACAACCAACCCTCTTATATAAAAAGCCCATAACTCAACCAATTCTTTTCCAATTCTCTTCATCTTCAATTCGTTTTATTCTTCTCTTGACAATGGTTTCATATACAGAAGAAGACCTCCGCAAGGCTTGCGAGGAAGCCGTCAGAACACATCGATTACGCAAAGTCGCGCGAAAATGGAACGTTCCACCCTCCACCCTTTATGGCCGTCTACATGGCTCCCTACCTCGAAATGTTGCTCATCAAGATGAGCAAAGGCTTACACAGACCCAAGAGGATCGTTTAGTCGAATGGATTCTTCTTCAACAAGATTTAGGATTGCCCCCTACACATGCACAGATCAGGGAGCTTGCACGCCGTATTCTAGCTGAAAGGGGGGACTCCTTACCACTTGGAAAGGGGTGGTGCCGTGCCTTTCTTAACCGCAATCGAATTTTGAAGACTCAGAGGGCCAAGAGAGTCGATTCGGTCCGCGTCAACTGCGCTACAGAGTCAACAATTCGACCTTGGTTCAACCATTTCCAAACACCAGCTATCAAGGCGATTAAGCCAGAGAATCGCTGGAACAAGGACGAATCTGGTATTATGGAAGGCAGAGGAACCAACGGCCTTGTCATTGGAAGCCGTGCCTTTAAGGCGCTTCAAAAAAAAACAGCCTGGAACCCGCACTTGGACCACTTTTGTCGAATGCATCTCAGCAGCTGGCCGTTGCCTTCCTCCTTTGGTCATTTTTAAGGGGAAAAGCGTTCAACAACAATGGTTTCCTTTGGATATGAAGCCATTTCAGGATTGGTTCTTTACAGCAACTGAGAAAGGATGGACTACCGATGAGACAAGCCTCAAATGGTTAAAAAATGTGTTCATTCCTCTCACCAAGCCAGCAAACTCCTCTGAGAAACGACTCCTTATTATTGATGGCCATGGCAGCCACACAACTGCCGATTATATGTGGGAGGCATTCACAAACAATATTCACATTATTTATCTGCCTCCCCATACTTCCCATGTCCTCCAACCCCTAGATTTGGCCATATTTGGCCCCCTAAAACGACTTTATCGCAGACGGCTTGAGGACCTTCTTGCTAACGCCTTTGACGACTCTTCTGTAGCCGGAAAACGTGCGTTTCTGGAATGCTACCAGATTTCACGCACAGAGGCAATTACTAAGAGTAATGCTAAGTCAGGATAGAAGGCATCAGGCCTTTGGCCCTTGAATGTCAACAAACCGCTAAGAAGCCCACTCCTCCTCAAGAATTCTAATACTTCACGCCCCTTAAGAACTACTATAGTTACCCCAGAGGTTCGCACACTCCGTATACCAATCCTGGAGGATTATGGAGACGATCGGGTGCAGTGGAAGACTCCTAGAAAGGCACGTGATTACGTTGAGCAGGCAAAGAAGTTCGCACGCATCATCAAAGCAATGCCAGCGGATAAGCTCTTCCTCAGAAAGATTGGTAAGGCTTTGGATGAACAGGCCTTTGAACTGGCTATTAGGAAGCGAAAGATTGAAGGTCTAGAACACACTCTCGAATCAATAAGAGCCAGAAAGAAGAAGAAGGTTGAAGAAGATCCAAATACCACCTTTGCGAATATTCAGACTATTCGTGAGGCCCAGAGAGCTGTAGGGCGTGCAGCAGAGGTTTTAGAAGATGCGGAAGAAGCGGATGATTCAGAGGATATCAAAGATTGTATTGAAGTTTTGTAAATACAAAGATCACCCTTTCTTTTGTTGGAGGGTTAGTTGGGACTCCTGCTTATACAGAATGTTCTAAATCAGTAGTGTTCGCTTACCCCCCCACCTAACTTAATCACCATTTTGCTAGCCCGATTATTTCTTTCAGCAAAAAGTTTTTGTGTTGAGATAGGCTCCATGATGTAATGTAGGCGGCTGAGGCTTTCTGGCTCTTTCTGCTTCCCTGTTCTGCATGTCTTCAGCACCGCTCAGTAGAGCGTCCTCCTCAGCTTCTGGAACATCAGAGTCAGTGCTCTCGGCAGGAGTGCTTTCCTTGGTCTCGGTGGTGGCAGCTTGATCGCCGTTGGCGCCTGGTTTTTCCTTGTCGGCATTGCCGTTCTGAGCAGGCTCGGGCTGCTTCTTCTCCTCCTCCTCCGTCGTTTCTCGTCCACCTCGATCCGCAGCCGTGTCTTGCAACTGAAGACAATCCCCGCCGCCAGGCGCCGGATGACATCGGTCAGTATGGTGTTGTAGTCGTACGCGGTGAGCGTTCCTTCAGTATGATCAGGGCTGGCTGGCTCGTGCCACGGCCGTCTTCCTTCACTCCTGGACCTAAATTGGCAGCCGGGGGGGTTTTTTTTTTGGCTTGTCCTCCTCTTCGTCTGGGCTCGGTGTAGACGAGGTTCAGAACCCAGTCCGTACCGGAGAGGTCATGGCCGTCATCCCCTTTTTCAATCATGGCTCGAGCTTCAATTGTGACGGCCCGCTTAGAAAGTCAAAGATTGAATGCAGGAACGAATGTGGATTTAAAGCTAAGGAAGGAAAAGGAGTCTGTCGCAGGGACCGTGCATGGCGCGGGGAAGTAGGTGGTGGTGCTGAGTATGTGGGTGGCGACGCGCACAGACTACACTCTAAATACAATGCAGCCAATAGAATCTATCCTGTCAAGTGCCCAGTGGCGACCGTGACACCAACACTGCATCAATTTCAGGGCAATGACACCGCATTCGTCGCCGAGGTTAGCCACGGTGTAACCCAGAGCCGCGGCGGAGTCGGCGCAGATGTATCCGAGGAGACGCTTGATGCTGGGGTCTGAGAATTCTTTGGAGGCCACCTGTAGATGATCAACAATTTCCAGGAACCCTTTATTCCAAAACAGCTCCAAGACTCCCTGTTGATGGAGCCAGGTGGCCCTCTCTTCGTTACTGCCCCTAAACACAGACTGCGTGGAAGTCATGATGAGGTCATGGACAGTATCCGCTAGGGCTTTCAAGAGGAATGTGGGAAGCTCGGAGTTATCTATCGCGGCCATGTGAGGGTTTTTTGGAGGCGGGGATTTGTGTAATTGGTGAAGTTTGTGCCGCATTCTTTGTTGTGGGGATGGGAAGATGGTAAAATGGCGGCATTCTACTGGCCCAGCGTCTGACAGGTGGGGCGGCTGGAGGGTGTATTGTACGTATTGAATGTAACTTGTACGGAGTTGATTAATTGGTTGGTCATGCTGTCAACTCCAGACTCCTTTCACCCGACCAATTCATTACTTGGCACACGAAAGCGAGTGGCTGGCTGGAGGATCCATGCTGCATGGGAACGCGTCGGGTTGGTAGTGAAAGGCTTTGCCGAGTTTTGGCGTTGGGGCCGGTCCGGCGACTTGCCAAATGAAGTTAGCTGCCGAGCAGCAATTCGTGTCGGAAGGAGCCGCATCTAAGCCACATATCGGCGCAGGTGGCGCACATGCTAGACCGTTTACAGCCTAGAGTGTGTCAGCCGAATGCCGCATAACTATAATATTCAGGTTATGCCCACCTTTCTGAACCTTCCGAATACAAGCACTTTTTGGCCCTCAATTGATGCAGCGTTGTATGTGACAATTCGCGGCCTTCCCCAAGTGCACATCCTCTTGAGCAGCAACACCGTCGCGAGATTGTTCCCCGAACACAACAACGGGGCAGGCTTCTTTCTCACCATGTCGGCCAAGGCATGAAAGTCTTCGAGGGGAGCTTCTTTGACAAAAAAAGGGAGGGTCGCTATTACTTCCAGGCTTCGGCGTGCCGTTAACGCTGTAATGCCGCGACCCTCCACACGGGCGAAAGGCGAGCTTTCGGGCGGTTACTTTTCCTGGAGTTATCGCTGCGCAGGAGTGGGGGCGTCATTGTCGGCGTTGCCAGCTGCCGGGCGCTTGGTCGACGCGGCTGCCACGAAAAGTGGAGCCGGGGGGGCTTCAGTCACTGAGGGGGTTATAGGGTCCGTTTGCCGGGCAGGTTTGCAACGGGGGCGACGAGAGAAGGGCCTACGGGCCCATTCTGGACTCGCTTAGCTATGGTTGCAGTACCTGGGGGGGGGGGCCAAGGGCCGCGCCCGCCCCCTCCCAGCGATGTATTACCATACTCCTTTGAGGAAACCGAGGGGACGCCTGGAGTTTTCGGGGGGGTCGGGGCAGCACGCTGCCTTGCCCCCTCTCTTTTGCTCCTCAAATCTTGTTTTGGGGTGGTTATCGACGATTTCCGAGTCGGCGTCGTGTCCCCGTCATCCCCGTCGAAGTCGCGATCCCATCGCTGCGGGGTTTGGTCATGGGATGGCGGGGAAGCAAAAACGTACGTGGTCAAGCGAGCAACATCTCGCCCCGTCAATCAGCCACGCACATGAGGAGAGAGAGAGAGGTCTAAGGTTCGAGTTTGAGTCACGACGTCTTTTTGAGGGAGATAAGAAGCATTTTAGGCACCTTGTCAATTACTGAGGGCGGTCTCTACGCACCTAAGCCTTGATATCTTTTTGAGGCTAATAATACATAATGCATCAGTATCACGAGACATGCACCGCAGAGAGAGACATACATCGCAAACAAGCATCGCAAAGAGAGAGGGGAGAGAGAAAGAGACATGTCAATGTGCCTGACTTATTCATTTGGCGAGACTCAAAGGACTTGTAGGCTTTGTCCGAAATGCCGGCGCGACAAAGCCAACTATGCCAGAAGCGGAACACGTTGGAAGCGGAACATGCCGTGTAAGCTACAAACACACAAACGCACAAGGCCCGTGAGATTGCTTCAAGGCCGGAAAACTGCAAGGTAGGCTGGCATGCCACCGGGTTGTGGCCCTCGAATAAGTAGAGGATCGAAGACTTAGGGCCTGATCGGCTCGCCGTTGCGGTGTCGTTGCGGTTGGGAAAACCTGCACAAAAAAAATCGCAGGGGGCCTTGCAAGGCCACTAACCCCAATCGAGTGGTAATTTCCCACATTTATCGACTAAATTTGAGGCCGAGCGCCCGGAACGATCCGTCTCGATTTATGCAATGTATCTTCGCGGGGCTCTTCGTGACACCCTGGTCAACGCCCTTCATATGGTATAGTGCACAGCCAAATCTAGTATGGTTGGCTTTTTCCCAACAGTACGGCAACCCTTCTTCGAGAAGGGTTGCCGTACCGTCGAGATCCTACGTACTGCTGCCAATGGCTTCCATCAATAACCCTCTGCTCAACGCCGTCATCACGAAAGCTGTAGTGGATGTAGCCCTACAGTATGTTGATCGCCGTCGACTACTAGGGCCACGCGACTGCGATATTATCCACCCAGAGGAGCCCTCGGGGGCCTGCCATCTTGCTGAGTCGATTCTCAGTAGCTCGGATACCCAATTCGTTGATCTTTTTCGTATGCCAAAGGCCGCTTTCCATCGATTGGTTACATGGCTACAAGAGCATACCGGGCTTAAGGGGTCCAGATATCTGACAGCCGAGCTAAAGCTTATGATCGTGCTATGGATATTCGCCCACGACGAGAGCCAGCGTAATGCTGCCCACCGGTTCCGAGTCAGCCAGTCTACTGTGAGCTCTGTTATGACGGATCTACTGGACAAGCTCGTACAGCTACACTGCGCATTCGTCAAGCCAAAAGACGATGACTGGCTCGACCCGTCTATCGACGATGCATTCTACGGTTGTATCGGGGCCATTGATGGTACATATATCCACGCCTTCAGTCCAGAGCCTCAGCAACACCAGTGGCGAACCCGGAAAGGCTTTATCGCACAGAACGTCTTCGCCGCAGTCCGATTTGATGGTGCGTTCTCGTACGTACTCGCTGGTGCTGAGGGCTCAACACACGATTCTACGCTCCTTAGCATCGCTACTGCGAATGACTTTGCGGTCCCCTCGGGCCGGTTCTACCTTGCAGACGCTGCATTTGGTAGGCATGTAGGGATTCTTACACCTTATAATGGTGTCAGATATCACCTCGAGGATTGGAGGAATGCCAAAAACCCGCCGACCACAGCAAAAGAACTATATAACATCCGGCACGCACGCCTTCGGGTTATCGTTGAGAAGGTATTCGGTATTCTAAAGAGGAAGTGGAAGATTATCCGAGCTACTGCGCCAGAGTACTCGATACGAAACCAGGTCCAGATCGTGTACGCAGTCACTGGTATCCATAACTTCCTTCTTGACACCAGCGATGAGGAGCTAGTAATTGAGGCTACACAAGAGGCTTGTCGGTATGCTGAGCAGATAATTAGGAGTCGGTATAGTAAGGATATCCGGGATGCTATTGCAGAGGTTCTATGGAGGGAGAGGGATTTCTAGCTAGTCTTCCATGACTCGGTCAGAGCCTCTTTAATATCCCGGTCTACAGTGTTCCATACAACAGCATTTGAGTGCTCTTTTAGCTGCATGATACACGTTACACGCTCTGCGGGGCTTAACTGGATAGAGAAGTTGTGTATAAAGTCCTTGATCGCAAGCTGGATCTCATCCTGCCCTTTCAGGCGAAGCATGGCCTCAGCCTGCTTAACCATAGCTTCAGCTTGCTTCATAGAGGCCTCAGCTTGCTTATCGAGGCTCTGGGCCAGTGCTAATACCTCTGGATTTGTATTGGCTTTCCGAACCCTCTGGTACGACGGCGCCACAGAGGGTTGGCGAGAGTTAGCATCAGTAGCTGAGCTCGTACTCAGGACCATGGCATCCTCGGTATCGCCCTCGCCCTCGCCCTCGTCGTCAGGCGTCGTAGTAGAGGGGCGAAAGGCATTACTCGCGCGGATAATGTTACGGCCATGACCAGACTGGTTGGCGTATATCGTCTCATAGTCTGACAGAGTAAACCGAGCAGTCCGAAGCCATCCAGCATCCTTATATTGCAAAAGGAAGTTATTCCAGACTTCCACAGAGCCTTCCACCATCCTCTCTTCTTCGTTATATTTCGCACCTGACTTGTTAAGAAGGTCTTGATCGTTCGGAATCGCTTCTTCTCATTATCGTACTTGTCCCTGATCTTCTCTGCTGACCAGTGGAAGTCTGGAAAGGATTCCTCCATTGTAACAGAGATCCTCTAGAATGCCGGCCGCGTCTCGGTCAACTTGTTGATACGGAACGCTCCAGCGATAGCCTCGTCTCGGAATAACTCGATAATCTTCGCCTGCATTTCGGTTGTGTAGATGATTTTCCTCCGCCTCGTACGCGGGGTCGACGAAGGCGCGTCAGGTGTCGGCTCGGAAGTAGGGCCGTCATCGGAGGCTTGCAGGCCGCCGTCAGAGGGTAGGTCATCGGCTTGAACAACAATAGAGGCCTCAGGAGCAGGAGACTCTACTGCGGTTGCCCTGATGCGGGGTCTTCTGGGCATCTTGACGATAGGTGGGTTGCTGTCGTGGCTGTATTTTGGTCAAAAAATTGCGGGAAGACAGGGCGGAAGTCACACGGGACTATGATTAATTAGGAAAAGCCTAGTTACAGGGGGTTTCGGGGTACATTGGCTGTGTCTCCACTTTAATTATGCACATGGCTCGTATCTTTTCCCAACCGCAACGACACCGCAACGGCGAGCCGATCAGGCCCTTAGTGGAGATGTAGAGGGCGGGGCAGGGCTGCTCACCTTCCTTTCGCGTCGCCTGAGGGCTGAAGAGGCAGAGAGACGACTGAGGAGAGGGCCGAAGAGGCAGAGGAGAGCGGCATGGGCGTCTTGTAGCATGGTTGCGGCCGTGGTCGTGGTCGGGCAGGTTTCGAGGCTTGCGGGTGTCGAGCAGAGGTAGTTGACAATCTCTTTGTGCTTATGCGTAGAAATGCGGGCTTTCAGCCATGGCAGCGTTCAGACGGCCGGTCTCAGCGACCGGCTTGGGATGCACGCTTTTGTGTTACTGGCTCAAGGTGTAACGACACTCTCTTTCGGTTTGTAGCGCGTTCAGAGAAGCTCGAAAAGAAACTCGACGGGAGGATTTTGCCCCTTTGCACTTTGGCACCCGTGAAGGAACTTGCCGAGCGCGAGACTGACTGCGCGATTCTAGGGCACTTCCGTGCCTCCATTCCGAGAATCTTGAGTCAACACTCGCGGTTTCAGCTGCTTGTCCAATCTCTGCAACCGTTGCTTCTTCGAATGCGACGTCAAACTCAATCGCCGCGCCGTCGGTAGCAGAAGGTGTACCTTGGTTGAACCTGACTGCCGAGGCCCTGATGATCTGTTTGTTCGCCGGGTCGTAGATGCAGCGGTTCTGGAAAAGGTGAAAGGTGTCACGGCCAGCTTGGAATGAGGGCGGAACTCCTCTATTGGGCGCTATAGACGAAGATTCTAAACTAAAGGGAAAAGGGAAAAGAAGCTCAAAAGCCTCCCCTCGCGAGATTCTTCCAGGGCGTCTCAAGGTGGGGCTCTGGCTGGTCGGGTGGATCCACCCAACTGGCGTCTGATTAGTCAGAGCGTCTGGGAGGCCTGGAGGACCAGGCCCTCACAAAAGGTTTCTTTGGAAAAGGGGAAAGGTTTCTTTAGAAAGGGTGAAAGTTTCTTTGCAAAAGGTGAAAGGTCTCTTTGGAAAAGGTGAAAGGTTGAAGTTCGGTTGAAGTTCGAAGGTTGAAATGGCGTACGAGACCCACGTAAGGTCCCTAGGCTGTGGGGTCGCAATTTATTTTCGGTGGGCCTCCTCCCCAGAGGCTGCTGCCGGGCAGAGCCTGCACAGGCTACTTAATTAGACTGCCTTTTTACTGAGTCAACACTAATCCCCGGACCTGCAGGCGCAGGCCTTTTTCTTTCTTGAACACAACACAATACACACACCTAGAATAACTCCATTTTTGACTGCTTTCGCATGCTTTAGCTTCTGAGAGCTACCGGGAGGCTCGTAGGAAGCCCCTGGGGGCCTAACTCGAAATCTCTCTCTTTTTTTTTTAGTCCGGCGCGGCACTATTTCTCTCGGCAT